AGAATTCTTGCACTGACATTCTTTACTGTGACATCGCAGAAGTTTATGTTCAAAGGAAGATAAGGAAGAGCATTATTTCACCTTGTGCCAACGGATAAGAGCAACACCTTTACCAGGAACTGAGGGTTCTGCTTGCTGGTATCAGCACACAGAAACAACTTCCTTCTCTGAACATTTTAGCTCAGTTTTCCTGAGCCCATTTTATTCCAGTCATCTGCCAGGCCACACTGGAAGGGCCTCCAAGCCCAGTCATAGCCTCGACCAGTTGCAAGATGCTACCAGTGCCATAGCGGCAGGCAGGACAGCCCACTTGCCACGTCGGGGCTTAAAGCAGCTCCCTGCCTCTTCCCACTGCCGCAGGGCACTTTGCCCAGCTGGTAGAAGCAGAAAGGAGGAATTTAGAGGAGAAGCCTTTCAGCTCTGTGCTAAATCCTCCTCCTCACCTCCTGAAAATCCGTGTGTGAGCAAACCAGCAAACAGTTGTGCTCCCGAGATCAGCAGCGCCTGCTGCAAGCCGAGGCAGCCGCAGGCTCCTGGCAGCAGGGAAGCCTTCACTGCCTGCATGGTCCTCCTGGCACCAGGGAATCACTGGGAACTGCCACCCCCGGGTTCCCTCTGTAGGTCACGCGTACAGAGCAGCGACGTGCAGCAACAGCTGAGGTGGCTGCAATCCTATCGGGAGTCACTAACGCAGCACCAGCCTGACTAACAGAGACAAACCCAAGGACCAGTAGCTATTTTATACCTAGCTAAACACACACATCCACAACCTCAGCGCAGACCCCCGAGAGAGCCGAGCAGGTTTCAGGCAGGTTTTAGAGACTCACACACAGCAAAGCAAAAACCGGCAGCTCTGGACTGTTCTCTCGACAGACGGTTAGTGTAGCAAAGAGCAGCTTACCTCCAAGGCTTTCTGCCACCATCTAACAGGACGAGATTTAAAAGATTTGATTGCCCGTAGCATCTCAAATTCCACAGGTAAATCCAAATCTTGCCTGGAAACACTGGACCCAGTCGTGCCACCTCCAGGCTTTCTTCTCCCATAAGCATCAAAAAAAGGTGTCAGTTTAACTCCATTGTTTTATATCGACAACAGAGTCTTTGATTACCCAAAAAGGTAGCAAGTCATTAAAAAAATAAAAAATCCCAGCCCTCCAAAAAAGTTCCAGTAAAATCTTCTCTTCTAAAACACTCCCCAAGAGAACTTTCCTAGCTTTCACATAAGGTGAGGCCTTGGTGCTCTTCATATTTACTCCGAACAAGTGCATCCATTTCTTTTTCATTTTAATTGCCCTGCCAGAAGGTGTCTTCTCAATTAGATCTTAATTAGGAGAAGTAGCCTATGGAAGCAGTTGTATTGGATCCACCTGGGACAAATTGAAATAAATGGCCTCCCCCTCTCATTGCACTTCAATGTGGCCTTGATCTTCTCTTCAGAAATCTTCTTTTACCCCTTGCTATTTTTTCCTGGCTGAGTAATTTAAAAGTCTAGCTAGACATCTTTATTTTTGCTCCAGGTGATAAAAGCTATGGAGATATCTTTCTTTTCCCCTACAGAGCTAGGATTTGGTAGAGCATATGGATGGATGGTTAGCTCCCGTGTCTTCCTCTGTAGTTCAAATATGTATTTTGAGAGTGCCCATTTCATTTCCTAGGGACCTAGAGCACTTTATCATATATTAACAAGCTAAAGCAACCTCACACTTCTCTGTCCGACACAGGGGAGGCAGGGTCCGACTAGAGCCGGCTCCACAGCCAGGAGCGGGCACAACGCACAGTACTACACAGCCCCGTTTCTCCATACACCAAAGATTTTAGTATCCGTTACTGCTTCTGTTAGCTTATTTTAAGACAAAAAGCAAGCAATGTGCACACATATGTGTTTAATATAAATGATAATCTGCAGAAGCACCATTTCCTCAGTTCTTGTGGAGAAGTTGCTGGCACTGGGCTCTTGGGAAATTCACAGCAATGGAATTTTTTTAAGAGTTTGGGGGGTTTATGCTTTTCTTTTTTCCTCCGTTAACTTATATGAAATTTTTCTATTCATCATGAAGATTTATTGATTGTTTTAGGGCTATGGGGTAATTAAATATACAAAGGCTTGGCAGTTGTAGTAGAGAATATTCTTTTAGAAATGCTAACATTATGTTAAATCCAAGGAATTCCACTCCTTGTACTCTGTGGGGTCATAAATAAGTTCAGTGCAAGGGATATAAATATATATGACACCATTTAAAAATCAGGAATATGACTGGACTATAGCTATTGAGTTTACGTCTCACTTATCCCTTAGTTACTAAGGTTAGTAGTCCTCCATCTCACTTCCATTATGCTTGTTATTTCACATAAAGTCATACATATGTGTCATTCATGGGGTTTTAGTGTCATGAGGACTTACGCGCTAGAATTAAATGGAAATAGATAATTTTGCAAGTATCCCCAACTTTCACAGAAACTAAATTCCTGCCACCCCTCCCCTCCCAATGCTAACTGTCCAGCTATGAAACGGGGCTATCTGCCCTCCGCATGAGATTTTATTGCTAAAATAAAGTAAAAATTATTTTAAAACAAAGAACACACATCTTTATAGTAAAGCTCAAGTTTGTTTTACAATTAGAGAAAAGAGTCACATGGTCCCCCCAAAAAACCCCAAGTTTTATATATATGTTTTGAAAATATATTTAAAAACATAAAAAACTCTAAACATATATTATGTTAATCAGTACACTTAAATATAGCTTAATTATATTTACAATATGACGCAGTTGCTTTTAAATTTTAATGCCAATTTCAATTTTTCCCAAAAAACATAAAGTTATATAAATATACAATAAATATTTATGTTACACAAGGTGAATAATAGAGAACAAGGCCACAGACATTAACTTACAGTTGCAAGAGTCTTTAACACAGCACTAGGCCTGCCGACATGCATGAGATACCTCTGTCACAAACAGACCACAGCAAGAGTTTAATTAAGTGTCATGAAAGAAAACCGCCCCCACCGTCCTCATCTCTGTTTTAAGTAGAACTGCCAAGCTTGGGATCCCAGATGCATTGGGTCAGGCAGGTGAGAGTCACGGGACTGCAGCTGGATCACCCGTTTCACCTCCGAGCAATAGGCCTAGAATTAAAGTGTCAATGGGGAGCGTCACTCCAGATGCAGTCACAGGACGCAGCACTTCCAGAGGTTCTCAGCTCCATCCCTCAGCCCTCGCACAGGCTGCTCTCGGAACACACCGCCCTGCTGCATGAATTCTGCCCCGCCAGCAGCACCCTTACCTACACCAGGTGAGGATTTCTGAGTGAAGGATATAGACATAATTAACTTTGGGAAATGAGGAACTTCATTTCTAGGATGATTTATGCATTAACACTTCTCTTCCGGAAATTCAATTTATTTGAACTGGTAATTATTTTATTCCTGCATCTGAATTAGATTACTATCATGTCCTAGCTATCATTTTTTCCAGTCTAGATGGGTGGTCTGCTTGTTATTCACTCATTAGCATCATCCTTTCCCCTTCCTAAGCAACCAACCCTGATTTTGAGGGGAGCCACCACTACACCATCTCTCTGCTATGGTTTAAAATATATTGCTGAGAATAGCTCCTGAGCCACGTTCGGGTTATTAAATGCAAAGAATTATAATACTCATACAGGTACTGGCCACAGTGGAATAAAATTTTCCATTATATCAACATTTCATTTGCATGAACATTTCAGTGTTTGTTTTTTTATTTCTAATTTCTATGCAGGAGCCTGAACATCAGCAATTGTTTCAGAAAGCTTAAGTATGAAGTTCAGATGGGGTCACACAACCCCATCTTCTTGCTCAGAGCCCAGGGTACCTCTGGCAGTGAGTTATCCCTAGGGAAGGGGAAGCCCTTCTACCCAAAGCAGAAGAGATCATTGATTTTGAAGGTGTTTCTGTTCACTTCCAGCACGAGTTTTTACTGGTAATAGCAAACTAAGTGTTAAATATGCTCTTCAAAGAGAATTATTGCAGGGGGAATCGTATTTTAAATAAGCTTTGCCTGGTCCAGTTTTTTAATCAACTTCAACAGCAGGGTAGACCAATGCAGATTCCACAGCATTCAGAAGTAGATATATTTTTGCAGTGTTTTCCTCTTTGTTCCACTACTTTTCTTCATCTACAGGAATTACAGATATAGCATCTGCCCTCACTGAGCTCACTAATGAGCTATTTCTGCCTCTCGGCCCACCGTAGTCGGCACAAGTGCTATGCAGAGCTCTCAGGCTTTTCAGAAATACTTTCGTCAGGATAAGTTAGAGGGGTAGCACAGGGCTAAATACATCTATCAGAATCTCAGCAACATTAAGCAAACTCCTCCAGCACTTGCTCTTCACTTACGTCAAGAGTATTTTTTTCAATGCCAAGATTTGTTTCATAAAATAAAACTGACAGCAGAGTTAGAGCCACCTGAACATAAACTCAAATTGGTTTCTGCTAGAGGCAGGGCTTCCCTCTGCCTCATTCCCCAGCTCTTCCCTAGGCTCAGAGGCAGCCAAACCTCTGGCGTCAGTCCCTGAACAGGCTGAGCTATTCAGTCCCACAACCAAGCTGATTGCAGACCCACTATCATCTTTCCAGACCCTTTTGCTGTAGCGATGTTCTTGTTGTGCTTCACCAAGACATTCGATCCAAGCACGGAGTCTTTTATTACATGAAAAATCATTGCGCTCAGCACTCTATAGAGCTATTTTTTTATATGACAAGCTCCAGTTCCATGGTAAGTGACATACTTCAAAAAATCACAACCAACATCCTTCCAGAGGGAGGAAAGGTAAAGAAAAAAAAACAACAAAAAAACCCCAAACACAAACAAACATGGTATAAGCAAATGCAGGTCTCAAAAGACAACAAATAAAAATAATTTAAAAAAAGAAAAAAAACCAAAAAGCATGTTGCCATACAGTGCTGTCTTTAAGCCTGAAGTTCAACAATGTGAAGTGGAACATCACCATTCTTTTTCAGTTGCCTCTTTTTTTTTTTTATTTTTGTCAGTAGTTGGATTGCTATTGCAAACACCTTCACAACATACAAAAAAGAAACCAAATTCGTTTTTAATCCAGAATAAGGTAATGATATTTTTTTTCTCTTTCCATCTGATGGGAGTTCAAAAGTAAAAGAGAAACAGTAAAACTATGACAACAGCACCTTGACATTGTTTTAATTCCAACGCTATCAGAAGTTAAAAGCAGTAAACAGATATAATACTAACAGGAATAAAGTACTTACTGTCTAAAATGTAAACGGAATGTTTTGGTTCAATTTATTTTTCTGAAAGAGGACAGTTTATCATCAATTCACAATTGAAGCAGCATGCAATTTTATTCTTTTTTTTAAACTTTTTATGTTTTCAATTCTTGGCAACGGCGACAAACCACAATGTTATCGAGGAATGTAATGCAGACTTTTTTGTTTGCTTGTTTTTCTTTTTTTTTTTCCTTTTTTTTTTTTTTTAAACTTGTGCGCAAACGACTTTTGTTCCCCTTCAGGTCATGGATATGTTCAATAAATAGATTGTGGAACCACTGTACTGTATAAACTTCAGTTATACATGCAGTCCATAAAATTATTTTTTTAACCGAATAATTTACCCTGTTATGTATATATACAAATAGATAATCTTGTCTCAATATAATCTATACAACACAAATCCACTATCTTCCCCTTTTAATGGTTAATGTACATACACAGGAAGTGTCTATCCTTATAAAGCGCCAGCCAACTCTCTTTTTGTTATCCATGGTGAGAGCTCTCACATAAGACTGGGTAGTTCGGCACTGGGAGTTCCAGTGCCTCTTGTCTATGCCTCTGCAGCCCTCCTTTGTGTACCCCTTAGGGTTGCATTTGGTCTCGTAGAAGTATTGCTTCAGTTGGCCTTTGGGTACTGGGACTTTTTCCAGGACTGTGACAGTCGCCCCAGACATGTCCACTGCAGTCTTTTTCTCCGCTGCCGTCACCCACTCGCTCGTGCTGTCACAGACGCTCAGTTCCCCACGGCGAGCTGGGTCAGAGTGGCGCCGGACCCTCATAGACATGTTTGCAGCATCCAAGTAGTTTTTGTACTCCTCAAGCAGAAAGAGCAGTGGGGGTTCCAAAGGCACTTGACTGCTTAGCATGACTCGGGACGTGTACAAGTCTGCGTCCTTGTTTTCGTCACTGGGCTGGATGTCCTGGTCCTCATCTAGAAGCTCCTCTATGACATGTTCAAAAGTGTCCGCCAGTGATGTCAGTCCTCTTGAACCAGCACTGGGCCCATTTAGGCTCTCAAGAGTCCCATGGGTCCGAAGACCTGGGTAAGCCAAGCTGCCTTGTCCTCTTAAACTAGCTTCTTTCATCGGGGCAGCTTTCATGCAACTGAAGTATGAGATAACCATAGTAAGGAAAAGGATGGTCATCACTCTTCTCACTTGGTGGAACTGTTAAGGACAAGAACAAGAGAAAAAAAAAATTTAACTTACAGGAGATGGAGTAATAAAAATTCACCCAAGTTGTGACGAGACACTATGCATTTTATGCGGACATCGGCTGCATGCACCCGCAATTCGTTGCTGGTGATAAAGCATCCTCTTGTACAAGGGTGTTCTTTGATTTAGAGTTTCAGATGAAGCATATGCCAAAACTTAGGCATATGCTTACTAGCAAGTCAGAGTTCTTACATACCAAAAGTCTTTCTGTTGTAAGTATTAGATTAGATATTATGCCGGCTCCTTAGCTGTTGACCGATCACACCTATTTCAAGTAAGAGCAAAAGCAGAACTGCTATTTAGCAATGCAACATTTCAGCAATAAAAGGCAGCTTTTGCAAGCATGAAAGGCAACACTTTCATTTCAAGTGCAAATGTAAATATTAGATTTTTAAGATCTCTCTATGCCAAAAATACTTCATCATTCTATCCATAGAAAACTAAGCAGCACCAGGATAAATTACATTTGTATTTTAAAAGCAGCCTTCAAAACACAGGAAGAGGCCACACAATTCTGAGGTCTCAGCAGGTCAACTGCTCAACTAAGAGTAGAAGGTATGTATGCCTAAATATAGAACACGAAAATTGTCCAGGACAGAATACTAAATTTGAGCTGGACAGATTGCTTGCATCATGTGAATGCCACGGAAAGGATCTGCTGGATTGCAGAGCGGGTAGGAGCTGTACTGAAATGACAGTACCAGGACCACTGTACTTTCCCAGAGCCCTGCACTGCCTGCCTTCAAGCAGGCAAAGCATCTATTTAAACCCAGTTAAAGCCCAGAGCCCAGCATGAAACCCAGAATTACAACCAGCTTTACTGTCATACCGTAATGCCACAGTTTGCCCATTGCTCTCACACTGTCCCAATTTCTGGTGCATGTTATGGACCATGCTTTGAGCCTTATGTTGTTTGATTTGCTCTGTCCTCATTGAGCATAGAAGTACAGCACCAGGAAACAGTGCCGGTAACAAAACTCCTCACCAGGCTTGGAATCAGCACCACTCATTCCTGTCAGCACTCCCAAGAGCCTGGGCTTGTATAACTGCTCCTTCCCAAGCGCTTTGCTAAGTCTTCGGGTATTTTCTACCCTGAGCAATGTACATGGTTTCCTCCTGAAGTGCAGAGTATGCACTTTAGGTGCTATTACAAGAACCCCCCAAATCCTGCAGTAACAGAGTTATGCCTTCTGTCTGATCCCAAGTGCTACTACAACATCCATCACACTCCATTGTTATTTTCCCTACTTCCAATGCCTGCTCTCACCAGTTCTGCTTGCTAGAAAGCAATGGCATTGTTCACATTTTTGAAGCAGCAGCTAATGCTTGTTTCAGAGCTTTTGAAGTTCATTCGGAAGTACCTCATACTTGGCAGTGCTCATTGGAGTAAATGCTATTTCTGTTTGCCAACAGGGTGCTATGTAAAAAGCCTTACTTCATCTCCTGCAAATATGCTGTGGGAAACTAGTACTCTTAAGACTTGAACATGGGAAGACAATCTATCATAAAACATACAAAGAAAATGAAATATATACTAGAAAGGCAGTGCCCGAAATGTAGGTCTCAAAGTTTACTTAGTGCAGTGAGGGGTGTGGGAAGTGTTTGGGTTTGCGTCCATGCCCTCCTCACCCTCAGTTCCTCACAAAAGATTTTGGCTAAGAATCCTCTCTACCCCAGCACAACTCTTGCTTCATCCCTCCATCTCTCTTCCTGTTTAAAAGTGTTATTGTGGCATAGATTTATTAAGATTAAACAAACCTGACATCTGTGACTCACAGGAACACAGTGTTTGCTCTAACCATGCAGAACATTAATATTTTGCAGATTTTTTCATCCAAGGATTGTTAAAACATTCCACAGGGAGTAATATCGGATTTCTTCCTCAAAGGGGAGAAAGATAGACACGACAGAGATGATTTACGACACAAGGAAGGTTATCAGTCTTCCTTTACCAAACAAGGAGAGACGAGACAAGAGGGAGAAGTGGTGGTTCAGCTAGGAGACAAATGCAGAGCCAGTGGAACAGGCTACAAAAACAATATTCATAAACTCCATCTTCTGAGAATTGTTCCATATAAAACTTAAAAGGAAAAAAACCAACACCAAACCAAAACAACCAAACACCCACATCACACTTGGTGACCACCAGAGCAGTGAACAGAACACAGATCTTCTGGCTCCTAATCAAGTTCTGGTTATTTTTACTAGAGTAGTGCCCTGTGGTCTCAGCCAGTATCTCAGCTCTGGAGGACAGACACTGTCTGAGCACACAGTTCCCCAAAGAGCCTTCCAGTGTAAAAGAGAGAGGGCACAAGAAGCATCAAGATAAGCACACAATAAAGAGAAGCTTGCACCTATCAGCTAAGGGCATCAGGAAGCTGAACATTTGCTTTTTAAGTTAGGTAGATGAACACAGGGTAGAAGGATTCCTGGACTGGGCCACATCCTCCACTGTTGTCATTGGGCTGCTTACCTCTCAGGGCAGCAAGGAACTTGGAGGAATGTGAAATAAAATAGTGGCTGTGCAACTTTATTTGCATGAACATTTTTCTTACAAGGAAGACAACAGAGAATAGAGGGGCACAGAGAAACCTCATATATTGACTTCAATAAGCCCTCAGCATCCTCCACCAATGACCAGTTGGTAACCAGATCTACGAGTACTTTATATCTCATGTGAAATTAATCCTTCCTTAATCAATTTTGCCTTCATTTAGGAAGGCAACTGCTGTCAAGCTTGATCAATTTACATCCCAACCGATGACATACAACCACAGCTATTATCTGGGGTAACAAGAAACAATGTACAACTAGGTTCTGAAAACCAACAACTTTAAAAAGACAGCCATTATCCACATAACATACGGATAATATGCAAGAAAATATGTCTCCCTAAAAGCTTCCCCTCTTCCTCCCATTTATAACAGAAGAGTATGTCAAAGTAAGCTTTAGCAGTGCAGACACATGGAATACTGCTAGCAAGCAGACATAGATCAAATACCTACTTCTTTGTAAACAAGACCCAGACTAAGCTGAACTGTGCTAGCAGGATGTGAAAGGATTCTTCTCTCTATCCTGAGCAATATACACAGTCCTTGTCTTAGGCAGCAAAATTATATCAATTGATTAAGTATGAGGAAGCAATATTTTAACACCTAGAAAGTCTCTTCATTTTCCACATCAGAGCAATTTCTAGTAGCAGTTGCTCAAAATCTACTAATTCAACATGCTATAGCAGAATAAGATTTAAATCTCACTTCATGAGTAGAAACACACAACCTTTCAGCTACTGTCAAACTGACTCATGAACACACAGTTCATCTCTTACTTAGTGAGGCAAGACTAATATTCCAGTGTAGCACTAAAAGGTCATTGGAAGCACTTTGGTTGGCTCCTTCCAGTCCTTTTCCTTTGCTCCCTGGCAGCCAAACCTTCATTATATTGCAAAGATTAAAGACATTGCCTGTCTTGTTACAGTAAGTGCCTTGTAAACCCCAAACACTAACAGGTGTTCTGAGGCAGTCACTGTGTCATCCTTTATGAAAGGGGAACCAGTGTGAGAACATGGAAGAAAGTTGTATTTTCCCTGTTTCCCAGCATGCTACTAGTGAGCAAGGTACTGCCCCTTTCCATGCTGGGCACATCCACCACTCTAAGGCCTTGCATGGAGGTTCCCCAACATTTCTGGGTACACACATGCCTGATGATACCCTGGTAGACCAACTGTTTCCCACAGAGGCTCATCAGTGCTGAGTATTTCTTCACCGAAGCAACCTGGCTGATACTGCATGTTCTGAGGTCATCTGTACAACTGAATACCAGACACCAGAACAGCCATGGCCACTTCTAGTCAGACACACAGCTAAAAAAATATAAAAATATAAAGTCACTGATTATACAGTCTCAATCTGTAGCCCTACCATGTGTTTATCCCCTCTCTTCTATGCTGTAGGAGGTTTGTTCTAGGAACAACTAAGGGTTGCAGCCCTTCTGCACTTCTCCTGTTCAGCTACATCACTGGGCATAAAAGATCAATGACTTCTCTAGGAAGGGGAATTGTGCTTCAGTTGCTGTCCCATAGACTGTTGTATACACCCACTAACTTGTGTAACACAGACATATGCTTGCCTCCTTGAGATCTAGCCTTAAAGAACTCCCTTAGGTTACACACGACATCTCTGTCAGAAGTTGCTTCCGAGACCAGCTTCCTGAACATCATCCATTCTCATGGCTGCAGGAACATCCTTCCTTCTCTCCTGCTGCATTGCAAAGCTGAAGCAATGAAAAGAGGTCACCCACCGTGGACCAGATCTCAGGAAGACGTGACCTAGTTTGTACTTCAATAAAGTCCATACAATTACAGTTAGAATAAGGGCACATAATTGTGGCAGTCGTCTCCACTAATGGGAAGAAGGCTCATTAAATGAAGGTCATGTCAATTATCTACAGCTAGTTTACATATGCAGTAAATTACTGAGTTGTACTATTTATTTCAGTATTTGTATTTAATGAGGATTCACCAGTTAATTGTTTTATTCCATTATTTTTAGTTATTCTAAGCAGAAATCTAGCAGCTTAACAGGTTGCATTTCCAGCAGAGACCTGAGGAACAGCTGTGAACATGTACTTGCTTTTCTGCATCCTGATATGTGTCATGGAAGTTGAAAAAACTTTCAGTAGTGAATAGATTCATAATGCTTTAATCTCCAGAAAGGAGTGTGCGGCAGAAGATAAAATTAGCAGCAAGACGACATTCATTTTCTGCCTTGCCATTTTCTAAGACCTTTATAAAAAAGTTCAATTTACTAAATACTACTGAATGGCTCAGGCATGAGTTCCTGCTCCACACATCATTACCGGAGTGTGTGAACAGATACCAAATTGGGACGCATGTCAGCACATGATTTGCAAATACTAAATGTACTGAGAACAAATAGCATTAACCTTTAACAC